GAATCCGACGTCATCTTGTACATTGGAAGGGAGTGCACCATCAGCGACGCCAGCCTCCTGATGTGGTATGCTCTGATGATGCCGGTCCCACGAAGGCCGCGGTGCTTCAGAGTCATGATGGCTTTGAGCAGGTCACCGAGCCTCTTCTGCTCCCTCCCAATTGGCCCATACCTCCACACCTCCAGCACCTCCTTGATCAGGCGGTCGGTGAAGATCGGTAGGGCGACGGCGGCGGCGTTCTTCAGGTAGAACCAGAGCTTATCCACCCCTTATTGGACTTCAACAACGGGATGGACATGTACTCTGACGCTAGGCTGTCCCACAGATGGATGCTCGTGCATCCCATCGGCACCGCCAGGTCTGGCTTCTTCTTCTGTAGCTCGACGGTGAAGAAGTACTACCATAGCTCGAAGTGGGGCTCGATCCCCAGATACCCCTCGCACAGCGCGACGAAGGCCGAGATGTGTTGAATCCCATTGGGATTCAGATGTTGTAGCTCCAGCATATAGTAGTGCAGTAGCCCTCAGAGGAATCGATGGGGAGGAGTCACAAACCCCCGCTCGTGGAAGGGGATGAAGGAGACGACGTAGCCGTCGGGCGGCGATGGCACATCCTCACCACTAGGTATGATCCACTCCATAACCGCTGTCCTTGCGTAGAGAAGGCTGTTCTTAAGCAAACCCTCCATGCGCACGTGGAGAACGTCGGAGCGAGGCCACGACTCCATCAAGGAATAAGGATAGCAATGTAGAAGATCCAGCGGTGGCGTGGGATTGGAGAGCGAAAACTTCACCGGCGGTGGAGTGGAAACAGGGGAACAAAGGCCAGAGCTCAAGAGATAAAGGCAGAAAAAGATTGGATGGGCAAGGATGCAGCTACGCGTATGGAGGCTAAGGAGAAACTGCTTCGTTTATAAGGTAAGGGCGGAATGGGCGAGGGGTGAACCATCTGCCTTAATTAATGCGCCTCACGCCTCGCTAGATCTGTTTCCTTCAGGGCTCATACCCTCATTATTCCTCGCAACATCAGTCGCCTCGTCGCCTCGAGAGATGAGCGCATACCTATCCAAAATCTTCCCCGTGAAGGATCCGCCGGGCGACGATTCATCTTCAAAGGCTATGGGTTGCTGCAGGTAAGTGGGATACAGAGCTAAAAACACTCCTACGGCCCATTAACGCCTAGGAGTTCAAAGGCTGGCCCATCAGTGGGTTCATGACCACTCTAGGGCACCCTAGAGTGAGAGGAGGTTAAGGATAGGCCCGCCAGCGGCCAATACCCGAGGCCCGCGAAGAGCCATGGGCGTCTCGACACTCGTTTCGAGTCTTGCATGATGCGAGGTCTATGGGTTTTCCCCGAAAGAACGGCATCGAGCCCTCGAACTGGTCCAATGGATTCGAGAACTATATGGACTGGCCACCAAGAATCTGGAGTCAGTCACCAGCTGATCTCGAACTGGGCCCCTATGAAGGGGATGCCGGGGCTCCACTCGAACAAGACCATTAACAACTCACCGAGCACCGTGCTCCGTCCAGCGAGGAAAGCACGGCACGGCTCAGCCCCTTCGTTCTAGCGAATGGATCCACGAGAGACGACGATCACAAGATGAATCGACCCCTCGATCGAACCCTTGCTACACGCGGGGGCTCGAGGGCTCGGCATCGCAAAGAGACCGAACACGCGGTCGCAGACAAATGACAAGTCACCTCCGATTGCGCCCCCAAGCGACAAATCACAAAAATCCTTTTGTGGGAGTGTCTCACTCCTCCAAAGGCTCGGGGCTACACCCACCGGGTGCGCTCGCGCGCACCCATTGGCGAATCAAAAAAATCCCCAAGCTATTCTACCCAAATCGCCCTGGGGCTTGAGGGCTACTGTCGGATATCTATACCCGGGTTTCCGGGCCAAAGGATTAATTAGCGTCACGTCGGTTCATCCGATGGTTAAGGACACAACTGCGACCTCGTCCGACACTCAGGGCCCGGGCCATGCCTCGTATAATTTCGAGGATGAGGTTTTCGCCTCGTCCGACTCCCAGGGGTCAGGCCACACCTGGTCCAATTCTGAGGACGAGGTTTCCGCCTCGCCCGACCCCTAGGGGCCGGGCCACACCTCGTCCAATTCTGAGGATGAGGTTTCTGCCTTGCCTGACCCCCAGGGACTGGGCCACGCCTCGTCCGATTCCAAGGACGAGGTTTTCGCCTCGTTCGACCCCTAGGGTCCAGACCACTCCTCGTCTGGTCCCACGAGGAGGGTTCCGCCTTGTCCAACCCCTAAGGAACGGACTCCATCTCGCCCGGCTCCTAGGGAGAGATTTCTACCTCGCCCAACCCCTGGGGGGTCGGATTTGCTACCGGACAAAAGCAATGGCCCCAGAGTGGGGCCCAAACCCCTTCAACCACTACGGCGTGGAGGCGCACACCCGGAAGCACGTCTCGGACACGTCCTGATGCGATGGGCGGTCGCATCAGGCCATGCTAGGAGATTCACGTCGCCCACCGCGTCAATAGGCCAGCACTGTGCTGCCAACTCCATGCCTGACCACCATCCAATGTCAGTCAACCGGCGTCAGATTGACTGGCACTGTACCGCCAGCCCCTCCATATGACCTCCATCAGGGGACCCTTTGACCGTTCCATCCGCTCGGATGGGACGGAAGGCAAGAACGACGCACGACGCCCGCACGTATGCGACCATGATCTACAGGGTCAGCAGGACCGACGCGAAGAGGAGGGTGGCACACCTCCGGGAGCCTTATTTCCCTTTCTTTTTTCCTCTTCCCTTCCGTTGTAACCCCTGTTCTTTCCTTAGCCTATAAAAGGGAAAGCAGGGAGTCCCACTAAAGGGCATCGGTTCATCGGGGCATCGCATATCACACGGCATCACACCAAAACCACTAGCATCGAGCTTCAAACACATAGCTGAATAGCGATCGAGCTCTCGACACCCTTTCGTTCTTTCCACCAGAGACTTGAGAGCTCCTCCCTCTCTCGACAATTTGTAACCCCTACTACAAACTCATTGCTAGTAACACGAGCAGTCCAAAACTGGACGTAGGGACATTCAGCCCGAACCAGTATAATCCTTGTGTCCTCTTTGCACACCATCTGGGTCAGACGCGCAATATATAAATTTACTCGTCGGTGTTTACTCGAAACACCGACAGTATGTTTCCACAGTTCTCCACGTATCAAATGGTCATGGGGGGGTCTAATTGTAAGCCCCATAGAGAAAGTAGCCGTTGGAGGCGAAACCTAGTTTTCTGCCACTGACCGGACGCGTCCGGTCGTCCTGACCGTTAGAGCGCGCGCATTGATCAAACTCTGGGCCGAGTCCAGACTCACTCGATCGGACGCGTCCGGTCGCGCTGGCGTCGCTCTGGAACCTCTCTGGACTCGATCGGACGCTGAACTTTGTGCGTCCGGTCACGCTGAAAACATTGCCGTGACGAAGAACATTGTCATCGGTGCGTCCGGTCACTACTTCGCTCAGCGTCCGGTCACAGCTGCTGACGCCTGCTGTTGCCGAGCAACTGATCGGACGCGTCCGGTCCCTATAAAGGCCGCGTCCGGTCACCTCTGTCGAGCTCGTTTCTTCGCGATCTTGCATCCGGCCTGGTTCCCATCTTTATGCTTGGACTATGCTTGATATCTTGGGTCTTCTCTGGTGCTTCTAGGGTCTTGCTTATGGTGTTCATCGTGGGATCATTATGTCGTCTTTATCCAAGTCACGTCTTGCACCCTATTGAACTACAAAATAATTACTTACAAATTCATTAGTCCAATTTGATTGTGTTGGTCATCAAACATCAAAATCCAAAGTAAATGGGCCTAGGGTCCATTTTCCTTACAACTTGCTCACCAGGCTGAAAGGTGAGGGCTTTCCACTCCCCTCGGGGGCGCTGCAACGTCACCCGGCGCACACGATCTCCGCCGATGCGTGCCGCGGGGATCGATTCCACACGCTAGCTTTGTCGTAGCCTTGTTGGCGGGGGAGGCGCCGAACTCAGTGGGGACGGCGGCGCACAACACCTCCAGCGCCCGGCGATCGTCTTCAAATATAATGCATTCTAGGGGATAAAAACTAATTTTACATTAAATATTTTTCATTTATCAATCAATCATCATTAATCACGTTGATGATAGCGTCTGATTAGAAAATAAAATGAGAGTACATACGTCTTTTATGTTCTCTCTTAGTTTGTCTTAAAAATTTTAGAATGCACGGACAGAGAGTAGCATATTGCTATCTTCTGGTTATACTAACATATGTAGCGGGGCAGAAATTTTTTTAGCATCTTTTGTCCAATAAACTTGTTGCTGTCCAGCATCTGCTAACAGCTCCAAACTTGTCACGTTCGAAAGGCTGTGAATAATATTATGGCCACCTGAAATTTTCACCATACGCCTGAAGGCGCATCCTCCTCGCTCGCACGGGGCTGGCGCCGGCGCGGTGGCGAGCGGCGCATTTCGTCGAACAGGTGGCCTGCAGTTTTCGCCGAACACGAGACGAGGAGGAATGGTGCGGACTGCAGAGTGGCCTGCGGCCGCTTCGGGACTCGTGATTTCAAAATTCAAACGGGCCACGGGAGCGAGGAGTAGCCACGTAGCGTGTAGGCCAACGGGCGCCTGACGTTTTGGATTCCGAACGGGCCCTAACACTGAAATATTTGTAGGTCTGTCGTGCTTACAGATTAGAGAATATGTTGAACATAGATGCAACATAGATGCACCTACACAGTAGAAACTCGAAACTGAACCACAGGGTACCAAACCCACAATGTGTTAAAAAGAAAACAGTGCTGACGATTAACCCACGGTACTACAGCACAGTTTATTAACCCAAGGTACTCGAATCTGAATTTTGTTCTTCAGACGATATCAACTGACAAAACAACTTGATAGAGATGTGCGAGACAATCATGCATTCTATCGCTACATGTCCTGCAAGTTCTCTGCATAAACGATATTCCAATCATCAACTAGAGCTGAACTGAAACAGGTCTACAAGGTACTGAAAAAGAGTACATATTTGTCATATCGCACATTTCTGTTTTTAATAGGAATAGGATCAAGATTCATATTCACGCAGTTCATCGAGGTAATGCTCCTCTCTAGCTTCAAGTTACGAAGGTCTACACAAAACAACAGAAAGTTAATGAATGCAAAGATCTACATGAACAGAAAATGGAAAAGGTTCAGGACAGGATAACAAAACATGAGTAGCCAGAAAAAAGAAATCCTATTGCAACAGAAACTTCAATGATGTGTTGCATGACAAAAGAGTGAAAACAACAATAGTGCACAAACCAAAACATATGGACCCAAGGTACTCACAGAAACTCCCACTCCGACGGACATAAATCTTCTCAAGTGGCAGGCCATTAGATCTAAACAACTGTGCCAACATATGGGCTCTTGGATCGTCCTTGGTGCATCTGATCTTCACCATACTAGATGTTTGCAAGCAAATGATCCTCCCTTTGGTTCTATACCTCTTCTCAATGTCTTCTGGATGTCACAGTTCTTTTTGAAAGACAAACAAAAAAAAATCAACTTCATTAATCATCTGCTAAAATTTTGAGTCAGCATTGAGAAACACCGAGCATGTAGGTACCATTTCAAGCTGAAGATAAAGCTTCTCCAGACTAGGTGAATGCTGAAGCAAGAGAAGTAATATGTAAAAATCAACAGCTGTACTGATACACCATTCTCCAAGGGCCAATGTCTTCAGGTTGCTAAAAGTTGGACAATTTAACGATTCTCTCCTCATAATGACCTTCATATTTAAACAGGAGTGAGTTGTTTACAACAAACTATAACAACAATGAATAATAATAACCCAACTGGAAAGGCACAAAACTCTTCAGATAGGAATTATCATCCACCATTTTTTTATGGCTAACAAAATTACATTTGGAAAGTGTAGTTTTTTACCTGGTGAATGAAACTACATGTCGAAATTGTTCTGAAACAGACATGAATTTATAGGATAGACTGAAAGAAAATCTATATAGCAAAATAAACACCAAATTCGCTTCAAAAGAGATAATATTTCCATCATATATAACATGCTTAGTTTTTTCTCTGAAGTTAGCTGATTGACTTAATTTGAATACAGAGGTACTTATAAGTGCTCTATTGGCCTGAAAGATTAACTCTAATTTTTATTATTGTAGGCTAAGGGCCAAGAACTGAAGATAGTGAAAAGTAAATTAATTTACACTATTCTGGTAAAAAATATGTAAAGCAAACATGCAGTACAATAGCATAAAAATAGACAGCTCACATTGAACTGATAAAACACATCCCCTATCAGAAAATCATAAATTTTGATTTAGTGATTTTTTTTGTGATCAATTTTGATTTGGGGATTGATGGACTTGCAACAATTTAGGAGGGTTAGAAACTTGGAAGCATCTGATGTTTGGTGCACTAACCATTTCAGTGTTGTGAATTCAATGATAGTATAAAAAGCTGGATCCACCCCTAAAATCAGCAATGATATGGAAAGGAAAATGTCGAATGATTACTAAGACACCCTCAAATTCATAATGTATTCAACAGAACAAGAGACACTGTACAATAAATGCACTGGACAAAAGAATTAAGGAATTATGAAAAAATTAAACAACGGAATTATAGAATGTAACTACCTCTCCAGAATGACCTAACAGCTCCAGATATCGAGCATTTGAAAGGCTATTGAGAACATTCTGGCCACCAAATTTTTTATAATCATTAATGATATGCTTTGCACTGCAACCATGATCTTTATTGCCCCTAGTGCGATCAAGTCTATTGGCATGGTTTCCAAACTGCTTATCTTCATAGCCATTTGCAATCTCACTGTACTCATAGGTGTCACTATCACTATTGATTTCACTTCCATAATCATAATTGTCCTTGACATCATCTGCTAAATAATGCTCATCATAAAAATCATCTAAGAATCCAGAATCATCACTGAGGATTTCATCACCACTGTCATCAGAATCAGGAACATATTTAGGGGCAAATGCAATGTTGTTGTCATCATCGTCGTCACTTGTTCGAGGATATTCATCAGCGTCCTCTTGGTACTTTTTAAACTCCTTACTCAATAAAGAGTCATCAAGCATGACACTACCTGTTACCAGCACCCCAAAGCTCTTGAACACAGGGACCCAAGACTCTGGCGCGATGCACTGCACAAACACAAGGTTTGGAGCATCAACAGAGAAGAAGTTAGCAAAAGTGCACTTGACCATGGTCAACCTCTTCAGAGAGACAGATGTAAACTCGCGGCCCTCTACGAAGCAGCTCTTGAGCTCTAGTTCCTCCAAACAAGGGCAACGAGATGACAGCTGCCTGGTGAAGCTATCAGACACTTCAGTATAGGTCAGTTTCAAGATTTTGAGGTGGCGAGAGACGAGGTCCATAGGATCCAGCTCCGCCAACAAATTGGGGTTGGGGTGACCGGTTAGCTGAATAACACGAGCATTCCGTCTGATTGCATGGCGGATCCACATCTTAACATCAGAATTGTCGAAATGTTCGTCCTCCTCACCAGGTGACCGCAGGCGGAGAGTGTCTATCGGCGCAAGGGCCTCCCTAGCAAGCAGCAGCCGGTACACGAACTTGGCGAAGTCCTGGGGCGGGTCGCGATACCTCCCTACACGGACATCCACGCACGTCACTGGCCCAGAGGTCGCGCCACCGGCGCGAGAGCACGCACGTGCGCGCCGCGTCCCACGCCTTCATGAACGACATGACGTGGTGGAGGAGCGCGTCGGGCAGCGCGCTGAGGCGGTCGGCGGCGGGGTTGACTCTCCCACCACCTCCTCCTCCCGAGTGCCCGCGTGAGGACGACGAGGCTTCCCCCGGCCGGTTGACCGGCACCCACCGCTTGGTGACCTTCGGGGGCATCTCGTCGAATAATACAGGTAGCCTGCACTTCTGAGAAGGACGAGATGACCAGGCACAAACAAATCAGAGCTTCGCGGCGTATTCTTGCAGGGACTGCTCAGAGGGCAGAAGAGAGGGAACACTTACCAGAGGATCGGCTGCGATGGCGGCAAATCCTTGATCTCTCACGGGCAGCGGCGGCGAGCGGCGGCGGTAGGGGCAGTTCCGACGAGCATTGGGTTCCGTGAAGAAATGAGGATTCAGTCAGTGAGGCTCGAAATGGGGAGGAGACAGGAGACTGGGGGTATGGTGTGATTTTTTGCGGTTTTCTTCAGCCCACGCTGCACGGCCCATTTATGGCCCACGAAGCCGATGCCATTACAAGCTGTTGACCCGACTCTTCCCTCTTCAAAATAAAAATTGCGCCAACTTTTTAGTTATTAAATAAAAATAAAATAAAATTACGCCAAATTAAACAAAACTCTGTGGTGTTTATTTATTATTAGACTAGTAAAATGAAGACAATTGACACAAAATCGAGAATTGTCTTGATAAAAAAATTGAAAATACTAACATGAAATCCAAATGTTGTGTTGAATAAAAAACAGGTCGGAGGTTTTGGTTTAGAATTTGGGGTTGCCCCACCAGGTTGCAATGTCTCCTTATTATAGTTCTAAAAAGGTGCTAAAAAAAGAAAAGCTGTTATCGCTATGACGGGTCCACGTATTTGAGGGAGCACGCGACCCGTCTTCAACCTCCTTGCCGTCCCTCCCTCCGTGCCTCATCCTCGCCCCGCCCGCCCCCGCCGCCGTTCCTGATCGTCCTCGCCCCCGCCGCTTACCACCACCCCGCCGTGGGCGCTAGGGTTCGTCGGAGCTCCGACGACCCCTAGTGCCCATGGCAGCCGCCTTCTTCCCCTCCCCCTCCCCATCGCCGCCATCTTCTCCAACTTCGGCGAGCTCGGCCACCACCATCTTCTCCAACTCCGGCGAACTCCCCTGCCCCGACCTGATCCGGCCACCGCTACCACCGCTAGGGCACCTAAACCGGAGTTGGAAAAAAAGAGGGGGAGACGCTTGCCGGAACCCTAGCCACCGCCGATGTCATCTTTGTCTGCGGTGGACTCAGATCCAGGAGGAGGAGGAGCCGGCCTACCTCGTCGCAACCGCCGCACGCCGCCGACTTCGTCTCCACCGCCGCCGTCGTCTTCGGGAGCGGGTGCACGGTCGCTGGGGAGCTCGCGGAGGGAGGGAGGAGCCGCGTCGGAGAGGAGGGTGTGGAAGAGTGGGGCGGTGCTGCGTGGGTGTGGGCGCGTGCGACGGGTCACGCGGTCGCCCTCCAGCGCGAGGGGTCGCGTGTTAGAATTTTTGTTCTGAAATGGATAGAAATTTCGATGGTTTGGAATAACACTACATGACTAATAATACAATTTATAACTGGCTATATCTATAGCTCATCTATCACACTACAGATATAGTAGTTGGCTAGTAGTAGGACATATTTCATCATTAATACATGCTTCACTTTCTTTACATCAGATGGCTATATAATTACAGCCTACCTCTCTTCTCTTTCATCTATATATATACTAATATTGTGTCACAGAGTGTTCACAAAAAAAATTGTCTTTATGCTTGGTATTGCATGAGAAAGTCACGACATATTCCTAAAATTGATCATAAATCTTTACATAGGAGAGAGAGTGTGAAGAAAGAAGGAATGGGAACTGCCAGCGTAAAGAGAAAAACAGCATTCACCATGTGCCTCAGAGCCTCAGTCATCACACATAGACACGACTACCATTAACAACTTTATGCAAAAAATGAAAAATGTTAGGCCGAATTCGGAGACCAGATTTATTCAATATGAATTTCTCCATGTGTATACGTATCACTCCTCAGCAGATGACATCAGGAGCTGCTGTTCTAGGTCTCTATACATTCTGAGTTTTCAGTCAACCTTTTCCATACAACCTAGTGAACACATGCACAGTCAAACCTATACTGAGAAGTTAATGAACCAAAGGATTAATGCCTAGCAAGTACGGCTACCTTTTGTGTTCAGAATACAATCTAAACTATGCAACTCACTGACAGCTACAAAGCTGCTCCAACTCATATTGTACTTCACCAACACAATTACAGTTTTGGCATCAACGAAAACCTCATCATGTGGGGGTTCCTAAGTTTCCTGCATTCATCTTCTTTGCTTATCTATTTTCAGCTTCGCTTTGCGCCTTGCGCTTCACCTGGAGCCTTCCTTCCCTGACATCCAGAGCACGCAGTCCGATGGACAAAAATCATCTCAGGTGGTATGCTATTCTCACTGAAGAATTCTGCCAATCTATGGACCATCACATCACGCTTACAGCATGTGATCTTCACCATCTTCAGCTTGGTGCACACGAATGACCTTGTACTTTGAATGAATCCCAATCTTTTGTTATATGCCTGTGCAAAGCAAAATAATAACATGGTTTAGGCAGTGACCATGTGCTTAAAAGTTTAAACACTATGTAGACATTTTTGTGAATTTATACACACCATGTCTAAGTTTGGTGAGTGCCCAAGTATGGATGCTAACTCATCAAAGCCAGGAGTTATACACCATTCACCAAGAGACAGAATCTTCAGGTTTTTGAATTCAGTGCTAGATTTCAATTCCCTCGTAAGCAGCACCTGCACATTTTGTATTAGAAATAATTTTGTCATAAATGTGCTTTTCAACCATAACCATTAGCTGAATCAACTACAACATTATAATACTTCAACATAGGATAATTGAAAAAGCACAACATTGTAATCAATAGTCATATGGACCAACACTATGCAGTGGAAGTTATAACTCTTTTAGCACTAGGTTCGCAAATGAACTAGAAATGAACATTCCATAATGACAGCCTATAATTCTCTTGATATGGAAGGTCGCAAGTTATTATATTTTTGTTCTACCTCAAGTCAATTCTGCAGTGTTTAAGACAGTTTGCCCTTAAAATGCTGAAGTAACAAATATGCTGGCCATGCTATATCAAGAAAATGAAAAAAAAAAATCTGGCCAAATCCAAACTAACAATTTCCATAGAAAATATTAATTAAATCCTAATTCTAGGGTGTGTACATTTTAGGACATCAAACTATAAGTTAGGATCAAAGTTCAGTAACAATGGTAGTGACTGCAACTTTTTCTGACATTGAAAAATTGCACTATTACATAGGAAACATACTAGCAATTAAATACGGGGGTGATACTAAAAAGAGTAGAAAGAATTATTAAAGACAAGGAACTTTTTCATGTAGCTAAATTTGTTCACATGAAACGGCCCATATCCCACAGCCCCTGAATGTTTAGTGAAGAACTTCATAACATTTCCATCATAAAAGTACAATAGGGACCCACTGAAAGTATTCTGATTAAATGGGGACCAATACGTTATTTTAGACCTGCAAATATTACCATTGTTTTAAATTTCTGAACTTCAGAATATTGATCTAATCATGTAAAAACTAAAAGGCACTAGTATCAGCAAGGTGACTGAACTGTACCTCTCTTGGATGAGCTAACAAGTCCATTGTTTTAACATGTGAGAGGCTGCAAAGCATACCAACACCACCGAAGTCACTAGAAATCTTGCTCCCATACTCTTCACAGCAACTTTTCACAGGTTCATCTATACTGCGTTTATGACCATTAATCAAATACTTGGATTCTCTGTATCTGTCCTCTGCAATCACATTATAACTCAGAGTACAGTCATCGTCCTCCTCATCACTTGGTGCAGACCGATCACGATCAGAATCATAGTAGATACTACTATCATCAGATTCGTTGTGTTTGCTATCACCAGAGTCACCATCAGATTCATTGTTGCTGTTATCATCTGACTCATCCTCCTCCTGTGGCCATTGACAATCAGAAAGCAAGCAAGAGTCATCAAGAACAATAGCTGCTGTGACTAGGAATTCCATTTTCTGGATCTGAGGGAAGTATTGAAAAGGCTTGATGCAGAGCAGCAAGACAAGGTTTGGAGCATGAACCCTGAATCCAATAGCGAATTTGCAGCTGATCATAGTCAAATACTTGAGCAATCCTTGCCCTCCACTGAACAATCCTTGCCCTCCACTGAACAATCCTTGAGCTCTAGTCCTTGCAAAGAAGTACACCTAGAACAGAGCTGCCTGAGGGTGGTGTCATCAAGATGGACATGAGAGAGTTGCAAGATCTTGAGATTGCAGAAAACGGGGTCCGTGTATTCTGGGTACACATCTGGTGTCCGGTGCATGATGATATTGACTATACCAGGTGATCCCAAGTTCTCGATCCAAGGAACATACCCAAAAGGCCTGCTGCAACAGAGCGAAACAAGGTTGGGAGCATAAACCAAGCAGCCCTTGGGGATTTTGCACTTGTTCATGGCCAACCGCTTCAGCATGGTGGTCCGGATCGTGGTGACCTCGGGTATTTGATAATCCTTGAGCTCTAGTTCTTCCAAACAAGTGCACCTAGACCTGAGCTGCGTGAGGGTGGTGTCATCCAGCCGGACATGGATAAGCTTCAGGGTCCTGAGGCGAGTCTTGATGAAGTCGTAGCCAGCAACAACGAAGCTCGTGTACTCTGGCAACGGGTACACACGTGATGCTCCCCGGAGAACTCGATTTCCTCCGCGCCGTGCCTGACGGTGTAGGCGATCCATGAGTTGGCGTTCCCGTTGCGGGCCTCGTGGCTCCAGCAGAGGCGGAGCGAGTCCAGCGGCGCCAGCTGCCGCCGCCGGTGCATCAGGTTCTTGACGAATTCGGCTCTCGCCGTCGTCCGGGGATGGTCGGCGCTGATGTCGCCGTCGTCGACGCAGGGGCACGGCTTGCGGATGTCGAGGCAGTTCATGGAGGCCCACAGGTGGCGCCACCTCTTGGAGAGCACGCACGTGCGCACCGCCTCCCACGTCTTGAGGTGCGACATGACCCGGGGGAGGATATTGTCCGGTAGACGGCTGAGGCGGTCGCTGGAGCCGCCACCGGCATCTCCACGGCCACCGCCTCCGCCTCCGGGCGTCCCCTGCGCTGCCGCGTCTTCACGGAGCATTCTGTCGAACGGGTTGCCTGCACGGATACAACTGCCGGCATGAACACCTCGGAATCAAGAACTGTGCAGCGGGCAAGAAACCATGGACGGATTCCATCAAAACAGATTCAGACGCTTGAGGCCCCAAGAGAAGGTCGCACGAATCAGCAATGGAGGGAGGAAAGAAGAACTGACCAGAACAAGAGATGGAGGCCTGGAGGGGACTCGCTGGACCGGTGACGGGCGGGTTCTTGCTGCGTCGGTGCCGGCAGCAGCAGAGGCTTCGGCTCTCGTTCCCGCTGGGGAAGGGAGAGAAGGAAACTAACGGCAAATGGGAGAACGGTGGCCCTCAAAGATCCTCTTATATAACCTCCACATATATTAACCTCTATATATCTACAGCACGTGTTACTTGTCTTGTATTAATTCCATTATATACCTCCTTAATTACTATTACTACCTATTTTCTAGTGTCTTCTTATTAGTTACCAGGACCTGAAACACCAAGCTGAAGCACCTTATGACTGAATAAAATCTGGCAATAGAAATAGGCCTCTACTCACTGCCAGGGCTAGGTCTCCTCATTCCAAGTGTCTAGCAACAAAACGCCACTACACAAGCACAAATCAACTCCAGATAACCTTTAAGTTGGGGGAAAGAAATGAACAACTGCACACCCCGAATTGGTACTTTTTATTCTATAGAACTTGACTTAAAACAAGGATTGTTTTAGGGACTACATAGGTGAACTCACTAATTAACTGATCATGAATTTTTTTTACAACAGATGCACTTACGTTGGTGTTGTAAGGCTTGCAGTTCGAAAGGGTTGTCGACTCCATATATCAGCACTGCATAATAAAGAGAGAGGAAAAAAAAGGAAAGATGGACTTGTTTTACTGTATTTTCCTTTTCTCACAACAGTAGCCATTTAGATTATACAGTTACCTGAAAAAATGTCAATCATATGCAGTGAAGCTGTCATGAATATACAGCAAGACCTATAATTACTTGAAAAAGTGCCCATTTGGGTGCCGGAGGGAGAAAGGAATGGCAAGAGACAGGCTTGGTTTGGTTCAGGGAGCCTTGACTTGATGTAGGAAAGAACCCGGCTTGGCGCTGACATATGAGGTTCCAAACCTGCAATTGGTGCGTGATCTGTGGCCTTTATGTTTTGGCCCTATGACCGGTGCTTTTGGGCACCGTAGGTGCCGTTGTACATAAAACTCTATTTCCTTCTTAATTGAGCGGCATAGCTCCTGCCTTTATTTTCAAAAAAAAACCCTGCAATTGGAGCTGACGACAGGAGGACCTGTGTCGCTCTGCCAGTGCGTAGGTGTCACCGCCTCACCATCAGCGGCACTGACACAATTTGAAACATCCTCAACTTTCCGCGAAGGGAAAATCCACAAAATGAATTATAATATGATGAAACCAATAGTCAATCCCATCATATTATCTTATATCAGTCGATATCACAGTCATACATCGTAAGGTTACAAGAATACAAGATATTACATCACTGGGGAACACACCTATTACAGAGTTAATCTAGCGGAAGACTATCGAGTGAAAGCTCCTCCTTCACGGGCATCATTTGTTTTCAAACAGAACTAGAGATACGTGGCTGCGTCATTTGTTTCAAATTAAAAAAAAATAACTGAAGATACGTAGCTGTAATGGACTAGTAGGAGTTCTCGTTTTCAAACAGAGCTACATGCACGTACAACAAAGGCGTTCCGTTACAAAAACGCCTCAAAAGGTTGCAAGTAATTAAGGCGTTTTTGATAAAACGCCTCTAAATATTGTAGTTATTTAAGGCGTTTTTTAGTTTTGCCTTTAAAAGTATACTTTCAAAGGCCTTTTAAGAGGAATGCCTTCATACAACAATAAATTAAGGCATTTTTTTAATGCCTTTGACAAAATGCCTGATATAATAGGACATGTTGTAGTGAATTGGGCTGTACCATTTTCATGCCGTGCCTAGCGTCTCGCACGACGGGCTATATGGCACGGCCCGTATTAGGGGCCGTGCTTGGGTTGCACGGCACGAAAATGAGAGCTAAACACATCTACAACGCTATAATACAATATTTTAGTACTTGCTATACTATCTTTTATCTTATTCTTGAATGATTGTTAAATCAATAAAACTTTCGTGAGAATGGTACATACAATATATATATATATATATATATATATATATATATTTGTTATGTCACAGGTGGATAAAGAAAACTAGTAAACATATTCTGAGGGTTGTGCTTAAGCCGGCACGACACAAAGGCGTGCCATCATGTCATGGGCGGTGCTTTGACCGAAAGCAAATACTTATCATGCTATACTGGCTCGACCCGACGTGCTCCGTGTGCCTAGAGGTCATAATCCGAAACGGCATGAACCATAAGACGGTCGTGCCATGGTGCCGGCACGGCCCAAGTTCCACCTATAATCAATGACGACGAACTAATTACAGATATTCATAAACATGTATGTATGTAAGGGAAGAGAGAGATTAAGTTCCACCTACGGCAGATGGAGTGTGTCTGTGTGTGCGACGGGATTTCAAAAATTGAGGCGGCGGCCAATGGGTTTGGGAGTAGAAAAGGACAAAAGCATGACGACTGAAAAAATTCATTCTCCCGCCTGAAGATGTTATCGCGTACGTAAACGTCTTGCTACTCGTGCGGAACTCGTCGTGCAAAACCGTGTTACCAACGAGCCGTGTAGACCGTCGAGATCGTGTATGACTGATTTTGACAGTTTACACGGCCGGACTCACCGTGTAACCACCTACCGTTTATGGGCTAAACTACACACCAAGCTGCCGAGTAAAGTTTACACGCCGGGTAAATCGGTCTATACGGCCGTGTAAGCGAACACTGGCGGGCGTGCAAGAAAAGGAGATATATTTCTAGGAGAAAAGAAAAGTTCAATCAGCTATACTTAGTAAGATAAATCGGTTGGGAAAATCATAACTAGAAACCGTGTGTTGGAAACCTGAACGAAGCATCGCTGAGTGAAGATTGTGGAGGTCAATTGGCGCCACTGATGCGATGAGCCACTGGCTCTTTCCTTCCTACTTTTATCCTATTTCCTACCTGATTTAGTAGTAGGAGTAGTTTACAGCAGCACGCGGCGCGGCCGGCAGTATAGATCAGCTGTCACTGACTGTTTCCTTCCGGTCCGGTCCCTTGTCTGCTTCCTCTCTGCATATATATAACATATTTGTCCAACCTTTTGGCATTATATTGTGACTTAATCAATTGCGAGTCTGAATCGGATCGGATCTGAGAGAGACGAATTGAGAGCAGGAGGCGTTCGTCATGCATGACAGCGCTAGCAGGACAGCAGCCATTGCCAGTTTGCCACAGAAGCCGGCGAGTTGTTACCGTGTTCCCCCGTGACGACGACGTCGTCGTCGGTCGTTCCAGTTTCCAAATTCCAACAACTCTGCTCATCAGCTCGCCATTGGTTTGCTGTAAGAGAGGAAGAAATGGTGGGACGGCTGCAAGGCCGGTACGGTGCTGCGATTCATTAACAAAATGAAAGCGATATATATAGCTATATAGGTGCTCCACCCCCAACACCCCCCACATCCAAATCAAAATATAAGCACGTAGTACATGCCTCCAACAGTCCAATTGGAATTGAGCTTCTTCAAAGATCGGCGCGCGGATAATGGAAACCGAGGAGGAGCAACGGCTCCAGCGAGCAGCCGCCACGGAGGATTTGGTGGTGGTGCCTGCAGCAGAGCTAGACGACGAGTCATGGGATCGTCGAGCGGAGCATCATGCAGGTGCAGCAGGCGGTGACGACGACGACGACCCTGAGATCAGAAGGGATCCTATGGTGAAGGGGTGGCGATGGTTGAAGGCCGTGTCCATGGTGGTCTTCACCGCCCGCCCCAACAAGACGACGACGAACACGGTAAAATATATGCTTCCCTTCTTCATCTTTGTTTTCATCGTCTTCATCCTTTGTGCACTAGCTTAGCTTTCATCACAAATTCTGCACTAGCTTAGCTTTCATCACAAATTCTTGACCTGTATGTACTTTTGCTCCCATACTATTTATTTGTGACTAGCTAGATCAACAACTTCAATCCTAATAAAAGTAATTATCAAAAAATCCTAATAAAAGTTAACTTTAATTTGCTGTTTTTCTTTTTTTTTACATAAGATGCTTTTTAAGTTTAAATAGGAGTAATTCATATCATAGTACGTGTCATATGTATGTGAATTCGTAACTATGTCGTAAAAATATCTTGATACTTTCCTTTTCACAATTTCCATGTGTGTTTCCATATTAATTAAAGTAGCATGAGATGACATAGCACCAATCAAATTAATTAACCAACCAAAAAAAATCTGATATATACTTTTCACATATGTTATGGTGTTAACAATTAGCCTGCAATGTCAAGCCAATACACAACGACTGTACAAGGATGAAGGAATAGAGAGAGAGAGACTTTGGATCCGTCTTGAAAAGGGCTTATAATAGCACTACACTGAACATATATGCAACAGATTTTATGGACAAGTTATCTAGAACATCTTGAAACTTATTAGTAACACCAGTTGTTGGATCGCAACGCCACGTACGGCTCTGACTCCCTTTTCGCACCACGGATCAACAACTGCTAGCAATGACCAAGGAGCAAGCTCTGGCCAATTGGTTCATGTGGGAGTGACGCACCTTATTTAGGTTGTTTATAGTCTCCGAGTACTAACGACTTCCTTTGTAATTGAGTACGGTCGCCTCATCAGGCTTGGAGAGGAGCGTACACTATTAATCAATCCTGAAAGAATTAATGACTTCTTAAATGTCGTCGTAGCGTTAGCACGGACATATACTAGTAGTGCATTAATTTAGTAGGTCGCCTCATCAGGCTTGGAGAGCGCACACCATGCCAATGCCATGGTGCGACGCTTCGCAACCCTCCTCTGCATTCGAGGAAAGAGTTATTAGAGAACTTTAATTATAGGATTAGGTCTAGGTTTGGTCCCTCAGCTCTTGCCTTTGTCTAATTTTGATCATTAACTACAAAATTAGGTAATTTTGACATCTCAACTATTAAAACGTTCCTTTTAATCCCAGAGCCTGTCATAAATGGTTTTCATGTGTCTCAGGCCCACCTGTCATCTTGGACTCACCACTAATATTTATGGAGGGTATTTTCTGGATAGCTAGGTAGGTACACCCAGAAATAGAGATGATTATATATAACAACAGCATCAACAACAATAAATAATATATTAGAATTTGCTAACATTTTTTTAGATGAGGTTGAGGAGTCCACAGCGAAGGACACATGAGGTAGATGTCAGCAAGTTGAACACAGGGCCCTGGTTGAACAGTCCACAGCGAAGGACCGCTGCTCAGGTTAGTCCGGTGTACGGCCATGCACATAGCATGGGTTGTTCTGTTCGTGACCGTACCCTTTCTCTAAACTTTATTTCTTTAACAATTCCTTATTTCATATTGATGGAAATTGCAATCCCTTATCACTAACAGTGGCACATAATGGATTGAAAAAAAAATGTAATGGTAGGTAAGAAGCTAGTAGTGTTTTTTTTCCAATAGGGAAGACCACCAAACGCACACCAACTCATACACGCACAGTGCACACCAACTGCTGCAACAAGTGTGTGGTTCATATTAAAAACCTATAAATAAAACCATTGGTAGTTCTCTAGTGTGCAAATCATGGGTATATATATATTGATTTGAATCATAATTGGTTGTCATGCGTACCGTTTTTGTTCCAATCACCACATAAAGGGGTGGTTAATTTGTTTTGTTTTACTATTTTTCACATTTTAATTTGCTTAGCTTTTTGTAATATTTTTTTAGATTACACAGTAAAACGAGGACATTCACAACACAAGTCTCTAAAGAAATTCGCATTAAGTCCATCCAAAAGTTTTGTTGAAACAAAAAGAGTTAACACTCATAGTCCAATTTATAAGAATTGGATTGGTGAACATTTTCTTTTGCACATCTGAAGAGAGAAACATACGGACGGCATAGTTCCAAAACAAGTTTGTAGCCACATTCAAGGAATTATGTAGTTTGATGCCAAAGAAGCATCAAATTTCACAATCTCATGGTGTACAAGTGGTTTGCATTCTACTGCACGAGAAAACACTCTTGGATCAACCCCTTCCGATGATATATAAGTATATTTTGTATGTATAGAGAAAAGTAAAAATGTCAAAAACTTTGACCAACAATTAGTCAAATTATATAAAACTCAATCCACGGTGGCTAGACAGCCCCCGGGTATTTTGGCTTAAGAAGAAGATCTTCTCACATAGATCGAGAAAACCCCTGAACCCCTACCCCATCCATACACAGCGGCATCGTAGCTCCGTGAGATGAGCTGACCACAGACCTGTGCTTTGGATGTGGAGCAAACGAGGGAGTTTTTTTTCCCTGGTCGTTGCGGCCGAAGTCACAAATAAAGAGTGAGTCCCTTGGGGCTCGAACTTTAACCACCCTAGTGGGGTGGTACTGAGCATGCACTGACCACTCGGTCAGCCATGCCCTTCCCTAGTCAAATTATATACAAGTTTAGTCCATAAACTTTTTAAGTAGATTTTTTGTATACGAAGAGCATGTAAGATGATATTGATTCTCTTAACTCTTAAGCAAATAAAATATATTATGAGACAAATAAAGAGTCAAAATATCTATTTTATGTCTTTTCCTCATCAAAATCAAGAAAAATAATAACATGTTCCGAGTTCATCAACAAGAACATAGAAAAAAAGATATTAAGCCAAGTATTATTGGTCAAAACGATAATTTCATAATGATCCAATTAACTAAAGCTATATACTACTCCATTCATTTCAAATTATAAGACATTTTATTTTTTCTAGATACATTGCTTTTAATTTGTACTTAGACACTATGTACATAGCTAAAACTATATATGTAGAAAAGTCAAAGTGTTTTATAATTTGGAACTAGGGAGTATATTCATTTCCATTTGGTTGCACCTTTTGCTTTCTGAACTACTCTCAAACTGTAGTATTCTGCATGGAAACGGGGAATGCCTATTGATTTCCCTTCCACAGTTTGCAACACTGTTATTGACACATAACTCGGGTTTATTCAGAATTTTGATATACAATGGCAATTTCCATATTACTTGGACTATTGCAATATGGCATATTCCCTTCGTACAAAAGAAATTTACAGAAGAAGCATATATATGAGGCATGTTATATTGTACAACTGCAGCATTATTGCAGTTAGGCCCAGTAAAATTTTGATGAACTGATTGATAATAGAAGTGCATGTTTAATTATTAGAAAGATCATGTGGCAATGAAACTGGATTGGATACAGACGGGCATCAGTGATCCTGCATTCTATCTCCTAATTGTTTGGATCTTGGAACTGGATAAATTTGGCTTATGCTGATGCTTATGCTGATTTGTTGTGAGAGAAAAATACTATTCGTTCGCTGAAAAGTATCACTGAAGTAGTTCAAGCGAACAGGGAAACAGAAATTCAATTTTGAGTATTCAGATTCGAATATGGTACGGATATTAAATATTCGGATCGAAAAACAAACTATCCTCGTAGAATTTTGACCCTTTCGGGACGGATGGATATTGGGAAAAATATCCATCCTATTTTCATCCCTAAGCATGTGCGGCGAATGCGTAGTTGACACCTTCCTTTTCGTTGCAGGTACAACCTTCTCTACCTCCGCAACAGCCAGCCGAGTTTGGAAGCAAAAATTCAGTACCTGAGGTTGTAATGGACATTGCATCGCCGAGAACTGCACAGGTTTGCTTCCTGGCCTGCTGCTGTACGTGGAGTTCCGGACATGAGGAATTTAGATATGACTAGCCATATATATCAGTTTTGCAAAAAGTCCTTGTTTAATTCTCTGTCAACAAATACTCGGTTTGTGACAAGGGATGAAGCCAGATTTATTTTCATTATCGTTATGGTTTTGCAATAAATGTATGTTGTATTATGAAAAAATTTCCAACACCGAGTGCAACTTCTTGCTGTCATTAATTTATAACTCCTTCATAACAAAAAATAACAAAAAATAATACGGAGTAATATGCTAATTAAGAAAAAAAAGGATAATAAATACAGGAGCATCACACGGCTACTACCTCCGATCTTGTTCTCCATGCATGCGCTTTATTCATTCACAAACTTTTATTCATATACCCTGCAACTGATCTTTAATATTGTTTGGAATGGAATAAAAACAGGTCGGCGTTGTCCATGGCAACCCAGATGACGATAAGGAACAGCGTGGGCGCTGCCTGAAATACTCGCAGAAGGCCCTCGGCTTCGCCGTCTGCACGTTTATCGGATACGCGGCCAATGCATCAACCAACACGGCCTTCAAGATGGCGATCGCACCCTTCTTTCTCGCCATCTGCGCCGACCTCCTGTCGCTCAAGACGAAGGCGAAGCTGGGTAGTGCCCTGGTCTACTTCTCATCGCTGCACCTGCTCCTCATGACGTACCTCATCTTCATCGCGTTCGACATGGACCACGCCTACGCCATCCTTTTCCTCCCGCTCGTCGTCTTCGCCTCCCACCTCCAGCAGAAGCTATGGCCGCCCAAGCCGCCGCCGCCGGACGCGCAGGAGGCGCAGCAGAGCGCCGATGAGAGGAACAAGGCTGCGAGCAAGGAGCTGGACAGCATCTTCGAGATGTCCGCTCTGATCCTTAACTGGAGCAGCTTCGTCAGCGCGATCATGACCGTGGTCCGGCACTTCATCACTGCTGCTGGGAAAGACAATGACGAGATCGCGCCAGGGGCTGTTGGGCTCCTATTCTTCCTCACCATCATTCTTGGCATCTATCTGATGCTGGCCTCGACTGTGAGGAGTCCGGCACTGAATCTCCCTACCAGGTATCTTGATGTCGTGCTCATCTGCCTTCTCCTCGGCACTCTTATCGCCACCGTCATGACGTTCAGGTAAGCAACAGCCTCTGTGGTGAGTTTATTTATTTATTTATCTAGATTGTTTGATCTCACTTAGGAGTATATTATTGACGTGATTATGTATATACTTGTGTTTGATTGACAGTGGTGCAAATTGGAAGGAAAAGCAGTCCCCGCCTGCCGGCGGATCAAGCTAGGTGTCTTGCTATTTTCAGCATGTTGATATGTTTCATTCATTCAATGTTTGTGTTTCCCACTCGTCTGCAATGGAAAGAAATGCCTGTCTCCGTCTCCAAATAATCAAACTTCTAGAGTTGTACGTCTTAAGTCAAACTTTCTTAAATTTAACTAAATTTATCGAAAAGGTAAAAAATATTTATGGCACCAAATAAGTAGACTATGAAAATATATTTCATAGCATATCTAATTATGTTAATTTAGTGTCGTATAAATATTGGTGCACTTTTGTATAAATTCAATTAAACTCAAAGATATTTGACTTTAAGCAAATTTAAAAATTGGTTTATTGGGGAAAGGAGGGAATAGGAACCAAGCCGCTCCCCTACAGCCAAAATCGATCGGTTAGGACAGTTATTGGTTCTAACGAAGAGAGATGCAAATGGAATTTTCATATGGCGCAACATCCATGTGGAATTTTGACAAGAGAACTTGATATAGTGGCTAGGTGGAAAGGCTTAGGTCTAGTGTGCGATGGTACTATTTCTTTTTATAACAAAAAAGTACGTTATAATAAATTTCTTCTCCGTTGCTAAAAAGCAGTAAAGTCATCATCTATTCGATGATATCAACTCTCAATTCCTGCTCACGTGTTCACGTCCAGTGTCCGATAAGAATCATCCTCCACTTAAAGCTCATGCATCCACGTCCTACCCACTTCGACGTTTAAAAACTAGATCCACGTATCCGCGTCTTCGATTATTGAGGTTCAAGAAAAAAATACATGCGGCCCCAGTCCAAAGCATGGGCATATATTAGTGATAAGATGATATAACTACCATATCTAACCCCTTAATCGTTTGTGATACGATGAACGTCACTGCCGCCTGGTAAGGAAGAGACCCAAATCGGACAGGGTGCATCAGGTACTTGGAAAGCAAGATATTGATTAGATAGCCTTGACAACCAAGTTGATCCAATAAGATCTGATAGATTCTCCTTGTAAGAAACTAGAAAACTGTTGATATATATCATTCAACATTTCATCTGTAACCCTACCCCCGGACTATATAAGGAGAGGTAGGGGTAAGTCATTCATATATTAGACATTCATAGTTAGGAACACTAGGCACATTCATCAGTGCCCCTATAAATCACCGAGCATACTGTCTAAGTGATTTATTCTCCACTGGACATAGGGTACCCTCTTTGATGTACAGTACATTCCGTTGTACCTCACCGACTTAGCCCATGTCTAGCTCGAGCATCTTCCTCGCACACCATTGAAGAGTTGAGCGACCTCGAAAGGCACCTCATCAACAACTTCGAGGGGGCCTACACCAAGCCTAGCACCACGTGGGACCTCACCAATGCAATTGCCAATGCGAGCGCGAGGAACAACTCCGCGACTACATCCAGCGCTTCACCTACAAGCACAATGAGCTCCCCAACATCCCGGAGAACAAGGTCATCAACACCCTTCATGAGAGGAGTCGGTGCACAAGATCGGTAGAAAGGAAGTGTCGGTTGACATGCGCACTCCTCGACATCGCCATCGTGTATGCCAACGGTGAACCATGAGGTGTTTCCTAATTCTCGGAAGATTGATCGCCCATCCATTCCCTAATCCCCATGGAGTTGATTGATCCAAAATGACGCTTCAGTAATGTTGGGGTGAGAGAAAACACAAATGGTAATGCTACCATTAAGATGTCCGGGCGACGCCTCACTCCACTCAATGCCGCATCGCCGCTCATGCCAAAAACACGCCTCACCTAACAAAATCAACTCCCGCATGCCTTGCTCCGCCCGCCCCACCCTTACCCATTCCTCGCTCCGCACCCTGCCAGTAGCGCACCAACGCCCATCGTCCTTCCCCACCGGGAGCCCCAATGCCCGCAGATCCAGAGGCCCTCTCCCCCACCCCGGCGAGATCCATGGAGCAGGAGCGAGATCCACTCGCCTCCGGCGAGATCCATGGAGGTGGCGCGACGGTGTTGCAAGGGAGTGGGTGACTCTCCTCCACCCCGGTGCGGCGCCCTCCCCCACCCCCGGCGGCGCCCTCTCTCACCATGGCGACTGAGCTCCTCCCACCCCGGCGGCCATGGCACTCCTCGCCCCCCATCTCCCACCGTCGCCGTCAAGCCAAGCCTAGTACTGGTGGCGCTGGTGGCGCTGGTGCTCGTGCGTCACCGCTTGCCGCCGGCTCTGACCCTGATGGCTAGAATCGACCGGCCCAGGCTTCCCCTCTTCTATGTTGCAAATGTATGTTTTAAGGTGCTTCAATCGTTTCAAAGGTATGTTGTAGTTGTTTCTTATGGATGTTGCAAAAGTAGATCGCGGGATGTTGCACATGTTGCTTATGATGCAAGTATTTTAGAAGCATGTTGCAAACTTTTGTTCAAAATATTTCATCTATTTCCAGACGTATGTTGCAATCGTTCTTTATCTGGATGTTGCATATGTTTTCACATATATGTTGCAACAGTATGTTCCAAATGTTTCAGCTGTTTCTGTCTTTTGTTGCAGTAAATGTTGTTTCATGTTGCAGTTGTTTTATCTGGATGTTGCATATGTTTCATACATGTTGTAAGTGTGTGTCCAAAATGTTTCATCTGTTTCAAATGTATGTTACATTCGAGTATTTCATGTTGTAAGTGCAGACCGCTGACGTTGTTGTCCATGAGGGTGGGTAGGGCCAAGCCGTGGGCATCGACGTGTGGAGGAGGCGTAGGCCGCCGCTGGCGGTGTGGGGAGGAGGCACAGGCCGCGCGGTGCTGTTGTGGAAGAGGCGGGGGCGAGTCTTTCGGGCGGCTTGTAAGAGACGAGCACCGCGCCGGCATGGAAAAGGTGGGGGCGAGTCATTCGAGCAGCGTGAGCAGTGGATCTGAAGCGGGCGGATCGGACATGAGCATTGGAAATAGAGCTGGCGCGGGCGGCGCGCGAATCCGAGCAGACGGGGCGGAGCAGCCGCAGGCATCCGGACGGTGCTAGTGCTGACTATAGGGATCCTGAATCTTGAATAGCAGAACAACAAAATGGTTCACCACTCTTGCACAAATGTGAGCAGCTGGCGTGATTGCTGTGTCGGGTGACAACAAATTGTGTTCTTCCCACTCATTGGGGGACCCAGCACCAGGGCCAGTAGGGCCATGGCCCTAGTCGTGGCCCAAATAAACAAGGAGCAACTCTTCAATTTTTTTGGCCCATCAGCCCAACAAAGAGTCAGCCCAGCTGGGAATAAGGCAACTCGTTCACCCAACTCACACCACCTTGTTCGCGAGTCGCATCTCATCCTCGTCCGTCACTCCGTTTGGAGTCGCACCGTCGCCCGCCTCGCCACCAAGGGTGTCGCCGTCGCACGTCGCTCCCTGCCTCCCTCCGGCCCTTCGCTCCGATCTGCGCTTGCCCCTCGCCCCACCGTGGCTCGCCCTTTCCGTTCCGCCCCTTAGCGGCTCCGGCCTACGCGGCTGTCGGCTGCGCCCTCGGTGGCTCGGCCGGTCGCCGGCTGCCCGCCCGCCGCCCAACGCGGCAGCGCCCTAGCCCCCAGCCCCTGCGGTGGCTGTTCCAGCCCCCTTGAAGACATGAGCTGACAACTGAGGATCAGAGCAGCTGCAACCCTGGTTTGCATTGTGTTCCAATTTCAATTTTCAATCCTTCTTAGTTTGTAGTGGTTGGATTCCAGTTACATTCTAAAATTACAGTATACAATATGAAGGACTAGGACTTTAGTATCGTATTTCTCTCGAGTTCCTGGCTTTCAGAGTTTGGCCGCTAAAATTTGGCCTTAGTCTTTTATAAATCGTGGGTCTGCCACTGTTCCCACTGGAACTACGCGATACAAAGTTTTGTTTGACAGATCGATAGATAGAATATCATAAGCCACGCACCACTCAATATAAAAAGAGCAACATGGTACTTACGCAGAATACTTAATCAGAAATCATACATGGTAACAGGCATTGAAGCTTTATAAATCAGCCGCCTTATTGCAATAATGAAAAGGCTTGCCAACTGCCATCATATCCATAGGTAGATTCTCCGTTGTACAACAAGAGGAGACGTTTAATTTGTTGGAGCTTCTAGTCATACTTGCCCTGGACATGGTACTTGCACATCTTTTTCTGGGCGCAGTTGATGAGAATTTCAGCAGAGTCGATACCTGTCAACATATATACAATGAAAATTCACGCCGTAAGTTTCAAATTAAGCTTATATCACTAGCCAGAAGTCTTGGCAAGCTCAAGGGTAGGCAATTGAAGACCTCATGTGAATACATATATCTACCTGAAAGATAAGCGCCATGGACATAGCCATTGTAGTGCTCGCTGGTATGCTCACCGGTGAAGTATACGCTTCCAACCGGTGCCTAGAATGCAGAAAAAAAAAGAGAGAGGTTCAAATTCAAAGGATGAGGCCTTCAAAAATAGGAGCATAATAGCAACATATATAGAAACACAAAATTGAAGATCCATATGGTAGTACCCTAAGCTGGTCGTATTCGTAGCGGTTGACACCAATTGGCCAATTGGAGAAGGTGCCCTTGTAGAACCTGTCAGACCACCATCTCGGGACATGGATGTCGGTGGCATCCGGGACGTCCTTGCCGGGGAACATCTTCCTCAGCACTTGCATGATCTCTGCCTTGGTCTGGTTGTCCGACTGCTGCTCAATACGCCTCGACTCCTCGTCGGTCACGGTGACAAGGAGGACGTTGGCACCAGGATACTGCTTCTCAAACTCCTGAGTAGATCATATATTGTTGCAAAATGTTCAGTATTCGTTCAAAATTTGATTTAATTCTGCCCATAAAAAAAACTATATGCTAACAATAACATCATTGATGCTTTCTGTACCTACCACACTCCATAGTAACCTCTCCTGCTGCTCGCGTAGAGGAAGAACTCTCTCCCTTTCCCTTCAGGCCTGAACTTCTTGGGGAACTTAAGGAAGATCTTGGTGTACACGGCCATGTCGAATTGGTAGATCGCCGTAACCTTCCATGCCTGGGACAGACAAGGGAAATTGCTGAGGAAATATATATGCAAGGTAGAAGGTACCCTTATATATATACATATATGGATGGGAATATATAGTTGAGGTAGGAACTACTGACAGGTAGCTGCGGCTTGAACTGAATGAGAGCGGATTGCAGGACACCCAGGCTTGCAGAAACCATAACATAGTCTGCCCTGTACACCGAGTTGTCCTCCGTCTTCACGGTGACGCCACCCGGGGAATAGCTGATCTCTCGCACCACCTATTTATTATGTATATATACATGCATGTGATTTGTTGTATTATCTACGACCTTATACGTCGCAGCATCAGAGAAGAAAAATGCAAGCATGTATACCTTGTTGAGCTGCAGCCGCGGGTCGACGATCTTTCCAGACTTGTCGGTCTTGAGGAACTGGCCGGCGAGGTAGTACACGACGGCCTCGTAGCCCCGCTGGTCGGCGACGAAGTAGACGTCGTCGCCGAAGTGGCTGAAGGTCGAGAGAGCCGAGTGCCTGAGGCACTCGGCAAAGGCTATATTGCACTCGGCAAAGGCTTTGATGAGTGCGGCACTCGGCAAAGCACACATGGCAAAAAATTGATCGGCAAAGCACTCTTTGCCGAGTGTATTTTATCGGACACTCGGCAAAGAAAAGCAACCGTCACGGCGCCGGTCCCGTTGACGGTCACTTTGCCGAGTGTCAACCATGCAGGCACTCGGCAAAGATTTTTTTTAATTTTTTTTTAAAAATTTCTTTATCGAGTGCCAACCCGTGAGGTGCTCGGCAAATTTTTTTTTTTAAATTTCTTTGCCGAGTGCCAAACCGTGAGGCACTCGGCAAAGGGCTTTTATTTTTTTTTGAAAATTTTATTTGCCGAGTGCAACCCTCCAGGCACTTGGCAAAGATTTTTTATTTTTTTAAAAAAAAATTCTTTGCCGAGCGTCAACCCGACAGGCACTCGGCAAAGAGCTTTAATTTTTTTTTTGAAAATTTTCTTTGCTGAGTGCCAACCCTCCAGGCACTCGGCAAAGATTTTTTATTTTTTTTAAAATTCTTTGCCGAGCGTCAACCCGGAAGGCACTCGGCAAAGAGCTTTTACTTTTTTTTGAAAATTTTCTTTGCCGAGTGCCACCCCTCTAGGCACTCGGCAAAGTTTAAATTTTTTTTTTAAATTTCTTTGCCGAGTGTTATAGTCACAGCACTCGGCAAAGCTGGAAAATCTGGTTTCTGGTCGCCAGCTTTGCCGAGTGTTGTGACCATTGCGCTCGGCAAAGGCGTCCTTTGCCGAGTGCAACACTCGGCAAAGTGACCCAAAACGGCAATTTTTTTTGCATTCCATCATGACAAATACATTCATACAAACATATATCACATATATATCTCATCCATCGCATATATATCTCATCCATCGCATATATATCTCATCCATCACATATATATCTCATTCATCCGCCCATATCACATCCATCATAATATATAATAATAAGTGCTCAAGTCCATCCAAATAAGTTTACAAGTCCATCAAAGTCCACAAGTGCATCACAAGTATATCACAAGTCCATCACCAAGTGAACAACAAATGTAAAAAATACAACATGCACTCATCTCGGCCACTGCGACTGTGGTGAAGGCCCAGATGCATCATTCGTAGGTGCATGAGGTGGATTATTCGAACCACCGTTAGATGGAGACTGCACAAAGGAGAAAAGATTGCATGTGAGACAAGATTATTTTGATAGCTAATCTAGGACGATAGAGGCCATATAAGCAAAGCACAAGCGAAAGTAAAAAACTTTGATACTCACAGGAGTAGCTGCAGCTGCAGGACGCGGAGGCGGAGGTGGAACCAACAGCCCAGGTGGCAGAGACAAGCCCATACGTTGCCCAAGCTCTTGTAGGAAATCCGTAATGTCCATCAGCCTCTGCGCCTGGGCCTGCCGCTCGGCCCGCTCGGCCTCCAACTGGGCCCCTAGCTCCTGACGTTCCTTCATTTCTTGTTCCAGCCGGACCTGCAATATTTCACTCTAATGTTTCAGTAATGCAAAGCTAATTAAGGTGTGTAAAGATCAATGTATGATGAGTAAAACAGGAATAACCTCGAGTGCGTCGACCCGGTGCTGTGCAGCGGTCGGCCGTGTGCGAATGGGCGGGCTCTCGCTCGTGCTCCGTGCTCGGATCTAGGAGAGAGAGGGAGTAGAGGCCATGTCGATGACGTCGTCGCCAAGCCAGAACCACCCATGCTTTTTGCCTTGCCCCGCCCTCATGACGGCCTCTCCATCGAAGTCCTGGGTGCTCGAATCGTGGTCTGCCCCATAGAGCGACCTCGCCACCTCAGTGTACTCACTAATGCGGGAGTGGACGCTCGTGTTCGTGTATGCCTCGGGTGGGTCCTCTAGGTTGAAGGAGACGTCGGACGTCGCCTTACCCTTGTGGGCCATACACCATGCCTGGAAGTCCGAGCAAGCCTGACCACTATGTGACGTCGACTGCGAGAAAGACAGCACGATGATTAGAAATCAGACAGAACTGAGCGTGACAATAGATAAATCAATTCGCGTACCCATGCTTGTTTGTATCCGGCGAGGTTGCGGCTGCCTTGATGGTGTGCTGGACCTTGCATCAGTAAACGACAGTCCCGGGCATCCCTATGCATCTTGAGGTACTCCTCCGTGAACCACCTGTCCACCATCCCCGCTGTTCTCTAGATACACGTCCTGTCAAAGAAGAGTGTGTATCCGGAGAACAACAGGGAGGTGATGCCGAAACTCTGTCTCGGACTAGAGCAGAACATGGAAACTAACCCATCTACGCATCCGTGGGCTGTCCAAAAAGCGTGGACAATCCGAAATAGATACGGTCATAGATATGCAAAGATCGCATACCTCCAACCGTATCTCTTTTCGAACGGAGACGCCTTAAGCGGGTTTACGCGATCTACGACAATGATACGAAAAGAGGGGTTATACCTAGGGTGGCGACGGAGTCAGACTAGCGGGGCCGTGGCAGGTCGGTGCAGTGGCGAGACGACACGGTGGCGAGAACTCCGACTCAACTCTGACGGGCTCTTCTCTACAAAAATGGAACAAAATTCTGTCATTTACAAAAAAATTCGGCAGAACCTCCCCTGCACGGTGAGGTTTCCAAAACCTGCAAAAAACAACGGCACGATGGCCGACAAGCACATATGGCTCAACAGAAGCCATGTAGTTTGATATCAATCCATGCGAAGAATATATCCAAGTAGTACCACTACTTGTACTACTACTTTCACTATTGCTACTACTACTACCATTGGTTCTTCTACTACTACCACTATTGCTACAACTACTACCATTAGTTGTACTACTACTACTACCACTACTTCTACTACTACTACCACTAATTCTACTACTAATACTACCACTAGTTGTACTAATACTACCACTAGTACAACTAATACTACTACAACTACCACTACCTCGACAATAATAAGTGAGAAGGCATACCGACCAGGCGACGGGGTAGGGGCGGGCGGAGTCGGGATCGAGCGAAGTCGAGGACGGGGTCGAGCACGGATGGCGTCGGGGCGGGTGGTCCACGGGGCACGGCCGGGGCGAGGCAAGGCAAGGCGGAAAAAGCGCGACGGGCGCAGAGGCCGGCCAGGGTCGAGGCGGTGACGGGGAAGGGCAGCTGAAGGGCCACAAGCACTGGCGCAAGGTGTGCGTAATGGTATACATGGGCGACAGGCAGGCGGGCGGCTGTGTGGCGTGGCTGGGCGGGTGGGCGTGGCCCATGCGGGATGCGATGCGGGCAAGGCGCTGGGTGGTGGGTGGTGGATGTTGCCCGGCCGGTCAAAAACCGCTAAGTCCGTGGCTTTGCCGAGTGCCGGATCAGGGAGGCACTCGGCAAAGATTTGTTTTTCTTGTTTTTACTTTCTTTGCCGAGTGCCCCAGATCTGGCACTCGGCAAAGATGTAAATTTTTTTTTATTTTTAAAATACTTTGCCGAGTGCCCCCTGGACGGCACTCGGCAAAGATTTAATTTTTTTATTATTTCTTTGTCGAGTGCTGCTGTGGATGCACTCGGCAAAGAGGAAATTTTAAAAAAATTTAAAACATTCTTTGCCGAGTGCCTGATGGCTGGCACTTGACAAAGACACCCTTTGCCGAGTGCCATGCCCCGGCACTCGGCAAAGTTTTTTTGTTTTTTTGTTTTTTGGCCTCTAATTTTTTTGTGCAGCTTTTTTAAAGCACTAGGAACTTCTAGTTACAATTTGGGGATTTTTTGTGGCTTTTTGTTATATTTAGTTACTTTATTTCGTTTACTTGAATTTTTTCGGAAATTAGAAATTTGAACTGCACGTGGTACGAATAATGGAGTTTAATGATTCAAAAATTGATAGTCATGCTAGTGAGTGTTGTGAGAGGCCGTATCCAGGAACGGACCCGAAATTTCGGACATCTTATTCACGAAACATGTCCGCGAAATTGCGTGTGAAGTGTTTATAAATTCGATAAAAAGCAAACGAAGTCCGAAAATCATGAAACTTGTTGAGATGTCGTGATATCATATGTGGAGGCTATGATAAAAATTTCAGAAGATTTCGTGCACGTTGTCACGTACGATGCTTACAAACCAGGACAGTCGCACAGGCGTATCTGATATCACATGTGGAGATGTCCTGGTTTGTAAGCATCGTATGTGACAACGTGCCCCTCTCCGCCCCGCGCCCGAACGCCGCGTCGCCGCCGCCGCCACGCCCGCCCCAACACCCCCGCCGCAGCCCCGCCCTTCGCCTTCACCGCCGGCCCCATCCTCGACGAAAGCTACTGCTCACGAGCCTCTGCGCAGCCAGGACGACGATGGGGTCCTCCCATCTGAAACCCCGCGCAGCAGCAGCCCCACCACCAAGCCAAAGAGAACGGCGGCAACGGCATCCCGTCCACCTACACCTGCGTCCACCGCCACCTCCCACGCTGGACTGAAGGTTGACAACGATAGCTCACATTCAGGTGTTTGACAGAATGCCCATGAGGTAAATAGCACATCCTTGCCTCCATGTATATGCCATGAATCAATGATTGTCTGGGCTGTGTTTGAGATGTTTTTTTTGCAATATGCAGTACTGCTTCTAGCCAGTCCTCTTACATACTCACTGTGATCCATGTGCGTGTATCATGAATGGTTAATCTGTGGATGTCTGAAACAAACTGATCTTGCTGCAACTGTGGATTAATGTCTACCAATGTGTGCAGAATGTCTTTGTTACAGTTATGATTTA